GGCTGCTCACCGAGATACTGCTGCCCTACAGTTAGATCCGCGCCGAGGAACTCTACTCGCTCACCACCGAGACACCGACACCGAGGGACTCGCACTCCTTCCTTTCGATGACGTCATTCGTCTCGCCGTCTCCTCGCTCGCTGTCAGAGTTTGAAAGGATTCCATGCGGAGCGGTCGTGTGCCTCTGAATGCACACTAAACGAAACACGCAGATGTACGTCGGCCGAGGCCGTGGTCCGACGACTTTGCCTTTCAAACAAAGTATTTAAAGTTTGCCATACACGGCGAACGTTATTGACTCGGAATTTTAAAAAAAACTATTTTCTTCAAAAAACTTTTGGAACCGTTCGACTGATATAAGAAATAAAAATAGTGAAATTATTAAATGACTATGTGTTTACATAAAAAGGACTCTCCAGGGTAATTTCGCTGTGCACCACTCATCCGTACCTCGTGCTTTCTAGAGATAATTGTGTTTATTCTTTTTATGTAATTACATGGTATTTATCGCACATAGTGAATGTTGGCGGTACAAACTATATTGTTAATTTTTATATTAACATTATTATAATTTAATGTGGGACCCAGTAGGTATTTTAACATGTTGTATTTTTAAGTATTATTTTAAGTTATTCCAGATTCAGGCGTTATTTATGACTTGGGTTCAACCTGTGGAGTTCTCCCTTAAGGGAGGGATTATACATTTGTAAATTTTAACGATATAAGTAGACATTCCTTGATGTTAGATACTGTAGCGAAGTAGTCCTGTCCCCTGCAACCTCCCTCCGACACTTCTCCACCTTTCCTATCACATTTTGCATTTAACTTGTTTCTAATAATCACTGTTTGTTGAATCTGTGTAAAAAACACCTTCATTATTCGTCAGCTCAGTCAATGAAGCCAAAGTAATATTAGAATAGATTGGATTTTCTACGTGAATTTGTTTTTAATAATCTAGATTATTGTTTGTGAACAAATGTAAATAGCTCTATGTGTCTGTAATATGAAGATGTTTATAGTATTGTTTATTTGATTTTTGTAAAATTTGATATATATGAAGTCAGTTTGTCTAAAATAATAAATAGCGCTCATCAATGAATATTAAAAATATTTACAGATTCGTTAGTTTGTGTATTGGAATTGGCTCCTTTTAGTCTAAACAGAAATGTTAAAATCCTAGCCATATTGCGCGAAAATATGACACTCATTGGTATATGCCGCTTAAAGTCACTAAGGTTTTTATATTTTTGTCTAGACTAATAATCTTTGAAATAAACAAAAAAAAGGTGACATTAATATCTAATTAATGAGGTTCAACCACTTTAATAAGATAGCAAAATAACTAGTTTTTATTACGCTAACAGTATTATAAACATAGTTCTCAAAGGAGCATAATAAGTTTCTAAGAAATGTAAATTGGGTGCTTTTAATGTATTGTACAAGCGTGTGTGATGTATGGTGATTGCATTGCTCTCATACAAACAATCTTTGTATGTCTGTGAAATGTCAGGAACTTGTCTTCAGCAATCACCGACGTTAGCCAACATTCCTTTGTGCATTCATGTCTGTTATTTTATTTTACTATAATTTTTAATGATGGGATTTAAATTATGAAAAGTACCTGGTTTAAATTAGGATGCTAGGTTGTACTGCAATTTATTTGATTATGTTTGTTTATTTGAATAACTGTATGACATTATTTTGTTAAATAAATTCTAGGTATTGATTTTTATTGTTTCATTTTTTAAACAAGTCATTATCAGCGATAAGAAATATAACAATTATCGCCATATTGCCATAAAATATTTCAATAAATTTATTGCCCACACTAAATTGATTAGGTAAGGTTTTTTCTAAACTTGGGTAGCCTATGGATCCATTGCCGTAAAATTTAAAGAGGTTTTATGTAGTATACACATAGGTATATAGGACAAAGGTGTTCCTTAATGCTTAGCTTCGCCGCGGACTAGCATATTCACACTACAATTAAAACTAATTTTTAGCATTCTTACTAACCACTTCATTGTGACATATAGGGTTTTAATTAATATATTTATTTATACGCCGTAAATTATATTAATCATTAAATTACTGTAAATCGACATATATTTAGATAAATATAATAATTTTAATTATAAAATGCCTAAATGTGTCATTAAATATTACAAACAACAAATAAACATAAAACGAACTGGCCGTATAATTTTAAATGCTATGCCTTTGTAACCAAAAAAAAAACATGTTCATAATTGTTCATTTCAAAGTGGCTATGTAGTGATTTTTTAAAGTTAGGTATTTGATATAAGTAAATTAATAAAATAGCGATGGCGAATGAAATCCAATTATTAAACAACATATCATCGGAAGTTGATGAATCGAAGTTGAGAATATTTTTCACCATTCAATGCAGTAAAGGTAAATAACATTTCGTTGATAATTTTACTGTTACTGGAATTATTAAAGTTTTATTAACCAACATAGTTATATTAGAGCGTTACATAATTATAACAAATTATATTGAAATTACTTAAAAATATTACTGATTTTTGTCTATCTACATACAAAATAAGTTCGGTGCAATGGTTTCAAAATATTTAAAAATGGCGCCAAATGGCAGAAATTTCAGAAACAAAAGCATTTTTTTTTATGGTTCGGAATTTGTTATGATAATTAGAATGACAAATGAAAAAATGAATTAGACATTTTAATTATCATTAATTCGCTAAACGAAATTCAAAAATTCGCATTTGTAGTGTTACTAGGGTTCGCTAGCGCTCCCCTCCGTTTGAAATTAACAAAAAAAATATATGATAGCCGTTGTAACGTTTAAATGTAAAGACAATCTATTAATTTATTAGTTTATATATTAATATATGCTGTATCCTTATTTCAGCCCAGGCATCTTTATTAGCTAGATTGAAAAACAAAATAAAAGAGCAGAAAAATGTTCTTAACTTTATCACTGAGGGGAATAAAAAGATAGAAGTCGAAATAAAATTAGCTGAGCAAGAACTAAACAAGTTAGTTGAAATTATAATTCTTTTTAAATTGTTTTTCAACATTTTATTAACAAATGATCTGATTTCAGTTTAATTATTGCTCATAATACTATAAAATCTGGAAATATAGAAACAAGAAAGGAGTTGTTGCTCAAACATGAAGAAGAGGTGGAATATTCCAAAAGAATAGAAGCAGGAGAAAAGAAATATGAACAACTTTGGTTGTCGAGTAAAGGCAGGTTTGAAAACCTACCTTTTGTTAAACTATGTCTAGATGGGAAGAATAAGATTCAGTTAATAGAAAACAATATAAATAATCTTAGTAATAAATGTGCTGCTCTCTCTGATGAAATAAAATTAAAGAAGCGCGCGGCACAAGATCATACCCAAAAACATGTGATCGATCTTGCAAAATTCATCATTAACGATAGACCAAAAGTATTAAAAATGATACAAGAGAGGATTAATGAAATTCAAGACATGACTATAGAAATAGAAAAATTACAACAACCAATGATGGACAGCCAATATTCTAAAGTAAAAATAATAGAATTAGAGGAAAATTCACTACCAGAGAAGGCAGAGGACAACAAGAAATTTGCCCATGATGAGAATGACGCCATTCTTGTATGTTTCAGTTACTTATTCTTTTTTCATTCTAGATTATAATAATATATAAACTTTGAATTATTTTCAGATGCCGAAACTACAACTTATGGACATCGACCTAGATATGCTAGGTGTTAAATTAGATCAGGTATAAATTTGGGTAAACAGACTGGATAATTCAAGCTAAAATGTCAATTGATAATTACTTGATTTATTGTTACTGTTAATATTCTAGATTAAAAAAATTGAACTCAACGTGACACCGACTCCGGAATATAAAATGAATTCTCTTGGATATAAAATGGACGTTGCGCATTCTTCGACTACCTTCAATAATAAGTGGGAATCGTATTGCGAGCAAAATAAAAGCTATTCAGATAGAAAGTTAATCCATATTTTAGGCGATATCACTCTTGGGAGAAGTCAAACTCTCAACATTATTTCAAAAGTTGATCCTAATACCCTTCAAAATGTCAATACCATTGGATCACATAAAACACCAGAACTTTTGAAAATTTGTTCTCTACCTGAAGAAAAGGTTAATATTTTTCTCAATACTAATATAACTTTCTAGCTTTTGCCGTCGACTCCGTCCGCGTGGAATAAATAAAAACAAAAGTGAGTGGCCTATGTGTTCTTCCAGGCTCCTGTACATCCGTACGAAATTTCATCGAAATCCGATCAGCGGTTTAGGCTACACACACATACATCTACTACATCGGCTACATCCGTCCATCGAAACTTTTAACCAAACACGTTAAATTAATTATATTGAATTATAAAGTCTGAAAAAAAAAATACAGGTAAACCAGTCATTGAAAGAGATAAAAGAAAATGCTGACGATAATGAAGAGCAAATTAATGTGCAGTCGCACGCAATTTTGGATAAGAAGAAGGTAATTTTAAAACAATACTAGTATCGTACTTCCTATCATCTGATTTGACTTTTTTTTATACCATAATGTGGCAAACGAGCAATCGGCTACCTGAATCCACCGAAATGGCGAAGCGACCGCTGCCCATAGACATTCGCAATAGCAGATGCGTTGTCTACCCTTAATCGACGAAGGAGGAGACGCACATAAACAGAATAGTTCCCCTTCCTATGCGTCTCTTCCACTGTCAAATCGTTCCCTTCCCATCCTTTTCTTGTAAGAAAAAGGGTGGGAAGGAAAAGGGACTAAAGTTTGGCCTTCGGCACCAAACTCATCAGACGAAACGCGAAATTGCACCCACTTCACGCCTGTCTTCTATATGGTCGTGGTATTGCTGGGGGCGAGCCGGCCCTAGTGCGAAGATGTTAAAGCGGGCTCCACCACTGTCTAACTATTTTACTATTGTTTTACATGTAAAGAAAAAAGTCTCATTTGATTTATCGATGGAAAATGTTCAAAACGAATTAACTGAAATACAAAATAATATGGATGTAAATGCTGAAGATGGGAAAATTTATGAAACTTTGAACAGTCGGGATATCAGCTTGGAGAGTGATGAAGGCAATGATAAATTAAAAGACAAAATTCTTATTTCTCATAAACTTGATACTACTCCGGAATTCGTTTACGCTAAACATTTGATCAATAAGGTAGTCAAAGATTACAAATATTTTTATAAAATTTTAAATAAAAATCATTAGTAAAAAATTTTAATCTTCTAGATGCCTGAAAACAAAATTATAACTTCTAAATTTTTTGATGCTACTAAAGTGTCTGAGCCTAATGTCATATCCAATGAGGCTGCAGAACAAAATACAAAAATACAGGAAATAAAAGAAGACTGTTTTACCAAACCACAGATTATGTCCGAAAATAAAACATTTGTTGAAACAAACTCAAAGGTAAGTGTTGTACATAAAATGATCTTTATAGTGATTGAAGGTAAAACTAAACAAAACAATTTATAAATGTGCAAATAGATGTTACTGCTACACTATCATTGGTCACTATGAGATACCCTTGTGCAGATTCTGACTAAATCTTCACTAAGGGATCACTTAATGGCTGAGTCTGACAGTTTAAGGTTTATATTGTTTGAATTTTCAGATTGGTGAAGACCAACAATCGAAATTTCAAATTAGTGGTCTATTGTTTGACCATTGTGGATCACAAGTGATACCCGATTCCCTGAATCTATCTCTCAACGCTACTGGACTTGATGTTGATGACAGTTATCCTCAATGCTTAGGTAATTTAGTTTCATTGATTAACTAAACTAAGTTTTTAATGTTTACTTGAACACTTAGGAAATGGCATTTGATCTTTAAGTAATAATTTTAATTTATTTCAGATTCAAGTGTTTTATTATCACCTAAAGCTGACATGGCCATGGATGGAGCAAATATTACAGCCATGCCTCAAGTTCCAGATTTTATGTCAGGTATGTAATACGCTTCTCAAATAAACTTATTTGCTTTTTTCTATGTCATGCAAATTGTATTGTTTTAATTTTAGGTATCCATAAAACTGGATCTTCATTTTTTGAACGCTTAACAGATGATAATAAACCCAACTCTAGTACTTCAAACACAGGAGGTAATTTCAATTTTAACTTCAGTGGTGAAGAAAAGAAAAAAGGGAGAGGATTCTTTAGTATGTTCTTTAATAAATAAATGTTTGTTGTCATTAGTCAAAGTAAATATATATGATACACATGTACTGTTTAAAATAAGTTAATTAGATCTTTAATTTTTTGTTAATCTGCAATTTAATAATTGTTAAAATATCTATCTCTACTGCCAATGTATCTTTTAAATAAAAGTTTGTTACTGATTTTCCATTAAGTTTAAACAGTAAAAATATGGATAAATTACGATTACATTACTGATGCAACTGACAAGCCCTCACCGCTATCAACTGCAGCAGTATAAACAAAGGTGCAAACACTTCACTGAATTCAATCCCTGAATCACCTTGTAGTTTTCTACATAGTAAAAATTTAAATACAAAAGTTAGACCTAAGAATATACCACTCCATGAGGCTCTGTACAGTGAAGCTCTGTATGAACTTTCATAGTTCATACGTATGCATACAATACAGCAGAAATATGCATTCATAGCATCACTCACAAACAGTGGGGCAAATATTGTCCACCAAGCACTGTTCACTACACCGTCAATCTTCATTGCCAATAGCGCAGAAAATATAGTTAATGTTATGAGGTTTATCCATATTTCAAACACTGTTAATCCTATCCACTGTACAATCTCTTTGAGTGTGAAAAACATTGTTACTGATTAGCACCAAGCATTGCAGTTCTAAATATTCTGATGTGGATAGAAGATGAATGTCGCACTTGAGATCCAAAATCCAAATCATCCACTAATGGTTCCAGATCATCTGTAAAAAACAAATTTATTAAACAATATTTAAGGAAACTCAACAACTTAAATCTTATCTTATTAATATTAGAAATGCTGAAGTCTCGATAGATCTCCTTGAAATTTTTAAAGATCTAGAATATAGTTTGGAAGATAACATAAACATAGGAGTGGGACACACTCGAGGGCGAAAGGTAGTAATAATTAATTCTTACCAACAAGGTCTACGGTTCCTGTGTTAACTTCAATTTGACAAGTTCCAGAAAATAGAATTTCCAACTGCAGTGCCAGGTTACAACACCTTTGTATAGCGGCACCTAAGCCATGTAGGATGATTTCTTTTTCTCCTCTCGTTAAAAGATCACAACATTTCTCCAACTGCGCCTGGAAATATCAAAGTAAGCGTTTAACGTGTGTAGGAATGATAACAACACAATGGTGAAGCAATCATACCTTAAAATTAGTTTTTTTAGTGACAAAAATTACATTATTCCCGTCAATCGGACGAACGGGAAGACGTTTTTTAAAAGCATAGTTTTTATGTGTCATTAAACGTTTTGTATTTTTACTTTCTTGTTTCTTTCCTGTAATGTTTTCATCTGCCATACTGTTAAACAATTATCAATGTAATGTCATTGCGTCACAGTGTTGCCAATGAAAATTTTTACCCGGCCGTGTACAACGTGAATAAAAGCCATGTAATGATGAAAAAGATCATCGGTAAGTTGGAGCATCGGTAAAAAGAAAAAGTTTTCAACTTTACCTAAACGTTGGCACTTTAACGTTTAAAGTCAATAAACTCTGTTTAAATTATCCCTTCTTTATTTTATGAAAAAATAAATAAATAACACTGAATTTCATTGCTCCTGGTATAAATCATTAAATTTCCAATCAACTATTTTTTCTATTCAAAAATAAATATATTTAAGAAAAATAAATGATTTGTTCAATATCTTCAAAACTTCCTAGATTCTGCTACGGGCTTAGGGTTGTGGCCGTTGGCCGTAGATTTTGTAATTTGATGGCCCGAAAGCCGTAGAAAAAGGGGAATTTCCATGGCATAGCAACACTGTGTTATTGTCAGAGAAAGAGAGCGTGTCAAAAGTGACAGATGTCACAAAATCATACTTTATGAATGTAGATGTTAGATGTTTTGAGTTCTACGTTCTACAGCCAGATTTGAAATTGTGTTTAAGCAAGTGAATTTCAATCAGTGACTTTAATATATGTATCAGCAGTTTTTACTAGGGTTGTAACGGAAGTCCGCCTCCGCTTCCGCAATTAATGATTACTCCGCATCCGCCTCCGCTTCCGTTATTTCTTATGCGAAGTTATAACGGAGGTTAACTAGAGGTTCGCTCGCTTAAGTCACCCGTGTGGAATGGGAAAACTTACGCAATCGCATTTAGGTATCGTTTGTGCGGCGGCCCGCGCCGACGTGGTCGGTCAACTAGCAGTTACACACGTTTCTCGACTCGTACGCGCGTGTCTGTCTTTGCGTTTCGATTGTTATTAGTGGAATATCCGTAATAAGTTACTTTTTTAATTAAATCCCGTCCGCAATGAAGCCGAAAACAAGCAAAATTTGGCAGTATTTTTTAGCAATCGACGATAATTTTGCGACATGTATCACATGTGGCAAAACATACTCAAGAAAAGGTCGCACTACCACATCATTGAAAGGACATTTGAGGTCCATTCATATAGAAAAATATCAAGAATTTTGTAAATTAGAAGAACAGCATGAAATTATGAAATCGAATCAGGAAGCGTCAGTTACACCATTGTTAAAAGTAAAAAGGCAAATGTCCTTAGAAGAATCCTCGGAAATCAATCAAATGTGGGATACATCTCATCCTAAAGCACGGAAGATGGACGATTTGATTGGAGAAATGATTGCTTTGCAAAATCTTCCCTTCCATTTTGTTGAAGGTGTTGGTTTTCGTCGCGTTATGCAAGATGCTTTGCCAAATTACCAATTAAGGGACCGTAATTTTTTTACTGAACATATATGTAACGATATATATGAAAAAATAGCTGACAAGATTAGACATTTACTTATAAATTGTCTTAAAATATCATTCACCGCAGATATTTGGTCGGAGCCAAGCGTTAATGTGTCGGTTTTAAGCTTAACAGCGCATGCAATTAGTGAAAATTTTACCCGTATCCAAATAGTTTTAAAGTGTTGCTTACTTTATGACCGATATACTAGTGACACAATTTGTGAGAATGTCAAAATGATGCTACGAGATTGGAACATCAAAGACGAGCAATTACATTGTTTCATTAGAGACAGTGGATCCAATATGGTTAGAGCGATGCATTTGGTCAATATACCTGACGTGAGTTGCACGGTCCACCAACTACAACTGTGTGTTCGGTCTGCATTCGAAACTTTTGAAGTAAAGGAATTAATTGCAAAATGCAAGATGATATCTGGACATTTTAAACACTCAAAAATAGCTCAAGAAGAACTGACTAAAATCCAAAAAGAGCAACTAACTCAACTTCCTCTTCGCATAATTCAAGACTCTGTTACGAGATGGAATAGCACATTCTACATGATTGAGCGTTTTTTGAAGATCAAAGATTCTCTATGCCTCTATGCTAGCAAACATAATATTCCACAAATCTCCCCAGAAGAGTGGTCGTCTCTTAACAAAATAGTGTCAATACTGACTCCATTTGAAGAAATAAGAAATAGTCTAATTGATACAAAAACTTGTATATCATCAGTGATTCCGATGGTATATGTACTGAAACATACACTGAAACAGGAAAAGGACAAACCAGACACCAATCAGGTATTCGAAACCCTCATTAGTGAACTAATTGATGAATTAAATTCCAGATTTTCTGATTTGTCAACTAATACTTTGTATTCTCTTGCTACGTATTTGGACCCTAGGTATAAATTAAAGTTCTTTAATGAGATAGATAAGGTAACTGTACAATCCGAACTATTACACTTGCTAGTCTTAAACGACTTGAACGAAGCAAATACTGCACGAACTGCAAATGTAATAGGCGATGATGATACGTTTACATTTTTACCAAAGAAACCTAAAATAGAGTTGAAACCGAGCACGAGCTATCAGGTTTTATTAGCTACAAAAAGTGTGCATACAAATCTGGCAGAAATGTTAAAAAATAGCAGTGACGATGAAGAGAACATAGAAAGTGACGATACAACGATAAATAGAAACCTCGTAATTTGGAAATCACTCATTAATGAGTATAACAAAGAAAAACGACTTCCTTTGGAAGACGACCCTTTGCTGTGGTGGAAATACCACATAAAATACAAAGCTTTTGCTCCCATCGTTCGCATATATTTGTCAGCGAAGGCAAGTTCAGTTTCGAGTGAACAATTATTTAGTGAAGCTGGTTTAAGTTATGAACCTTTGTGCACTCGATTGGAAGGTGACGAAGCCGCAAAACGGTTGTTCGTAAAGTACAATTTGCCTCTTCTCAATTTCGATTATTAGGTAAGTTCTAAGTTACGAATAGCAGTTTGTCACCTTCTTATCGGTTTGGCAGAGATTCATTACTTACTACATTACTACTTAATAATTGTTATACATCATATGTGTATCACAAAATGTATCTTGTAATAATGTACCAATCTCTATTTAAAAAAAACGTAGTTTTATTTTTTCTTTATTTAATAAATCACAATTAGAATTTTATTATTCACTTCCGCCTCCGCTTCCGTTGAATTCCGCATCCGCACCCGCAACCGCTTCCGGTAAAATAGCTTCCGTTACAATACAACGTTCAATAATAGTTCACGTCAGAGGTCCCCAGCCTCGTGCTCGCGGGAGCCACGCCCCCGGATCGATTCGTATGTGCTCGCCACTATTCGGCACGTTTTAATTTTTGTGGATTGCTTAGCTAGGTTTATTCAATACGTTCGTATGTGTGCGATATTGTACGTATGACTAATTTACGTTTTGTAAACAAACATTTCTCTGAGTGTATGCAATTTTAATAATTATTCAATTACTGTGAAACATACTTGTTTTTTAAGAAATAATAAGAAAATAAATGATGGGAAAATGAGAAGTTATGGTAGGAGTTGGTCGATTAAAAATATGCGGTGCCCGCCACGCGACCGATATTTGAGAATGTGCTCTAGAGTACAAAAATGTTAAGAACCCCGGGTTTACGTAAATATAGATTATTGATATCGTTATAGAATTCACAAAATGAGAGAGTGTAATGAAGTTATAGACCGACATGTAACTTTTCGTTCAGTAGCTGTTTTTTCGTTTATGTTATTTATATGTCCGAACAGGTTTTACATGTTTTCTGACAAAATCAACCGTGACAATCACAATGACATTATATGGCATTTTTGGGCCTCAAAAACCAACCTTTGAATCGTTTTAAATTAAAATGTAGTTAAAATATAATCATGCCTTAACGTTTTTTACAAAATTTTTAGTTTAGTATTTTTATATTTAGATATTAAAAATGGGGTGTATTTGTTGTACGCTGGGTTCTGCATTTTCAGTTATTTTAGATGCACTAGAAAGGTAATAAAACATTAATTATTTTACGTTATTGAACACATGTATAAAATACGCAGGCATGATAGGTTTTATGTGGAACATTTTATATATTTTTTTTAAGTTACTTTTATTTTTTATTATTTATTTGCCCCTTAAACGTTGATATGTATATTGCCTTAAAATAAAATTGAATTACTAAAGTATCTTTTAATAAAATGTAAATCGTAAAAAGAATATACGAGTATTTGCGATTTTTTTCAGAATATCTATGTGGACAGTATGTGCCATATTAACTTGTTGTTTAACAATTACTCTAATAATTATATTGTTGGTTGGAATCGGCATTGGTTATCACTATTGTTACGTACATTACGTGGCTTCAGGTATTAACAACAAAAACATATCAATTTTTTTACTCTATATCTTGATGTGTGATTTAATAACCAGTAAAAGTAGATTATGTAATATTTTTTTTTCGTTTTAAGGATGGAATAATACGAAGCACGCAAATTATTTTTACCACGCGTTTAATAAATTTATCAGAGAAAACATCCATCGTATCACAAAACGCGAATTGAAAGCAAATGGAAGTACAAGTGTTGAGTTTGGCAACAAAACCTATTTAGTGGAAGGGACTCCAGTGTATAATGTTTCGAAATCTTACCTTATAATGTAATTTTACATAATGTATAAGGGAAATGCATAAAGATAGTTTATTAGTAAATAAATCTTTTATTACGTTTAAGGCAACTTAATTAGAATAGTAACAAAATTTTAAGAATCAGGGTCCATCTTCCCATTTCACATTCTTTTACATTGCCACTAGCACATAGATTAAAAATTGTTTCGTTAAAAAATTCACATAATGTAGCAAAACTTTATACGAAGACAAAGTTATGTACAATTTATATAATCTAGAATATATTGCATTTTAAACTTCGTTTAAATGATTCTGGTATTACGCTGCCGCAATCGTAACAGTGTCGTCGTGTCTTGACGCAGGCGGTGAGTAACTTGTATAGTTATTTCTCTTTATACGTCGAAATCTGCCGATCAATTTCAACGCTAATTCCTTCTCATGAGGAGTTAATTCCACTTCTTTTATTGGCCTATAAAATAAACAACGTGTCACTAAAAATACGTAGTGATTTATTCGACTGTAGTAAAAACGTAACACTTATTTACCTTTCACTTTCTAAAACAACAAGTGGTGTAGGTGTTGAGTCCAGGTACATTGGTTGCGCTGACACTGTTCTACTGTCATACGCAGCTGAAATTCAAAGAAAATGTTGGATAACATAGTGAATAACATTTTTTCAGCGGTAACTTCTTTGAAAGGTACTATTTAGTACGCCACCTCATGTCCATGTATCGACATATGAAACATTTAAAAAAATTGTAATAAGGATCTTTTGTAAACAGTGTCACAAAAAAACAAAACAAACATGTAAATTTTATTCAATAACAGCCATCGGTCATTAATTCAAATACAATTAAATTAATTAATTTTATTTGCATGTGAATTCAAAGGCTATCATCACATAGCGTTATTGAAACATGTGAAAAATGTCTCAAGTTAAGTGTCTATGGTTTCTCTATATGTTTTTTTGAATCTCTTTGGGTATAAATAAATAAATGCTACGGGTGTTTGTTATATCAGTGTAGCGTTTAGTTACCCGGGACGTCGCCAGATGACCCCGGCTGCGTGCGGTTCACGGCCACGAGGCGCACCAGCGGCTCCTCCACCTGCTCCTGCTGGGGTTCCCCTTCGCGGAGAAGTCCTCCAGATTTCCCGCTTTCACCGACTGGACAATTACATGTTTCATTTGTTATAGAAAACCAAACTTATTTAAACCGTTACAACACGATTGAAAGTAAAAAAAAAAGAATTTATACTCTACATGTATAGATAGTTTGCTTCCTTATTATAAATAAATAAATAAAAAGCTGTGACGACTATTGTTTCATTGTGTAGAGTCCATTTAAATAAAAAACAAAACTTTCAGAAACTACCCAAAAAGATGATGGGATACGTACTAGCGAAACGTGCTATTTCCTTTTGTGCGTAGTGATACCCTAGTGTGATGCCGTACAGCGTCAGTATAACGATCATGACCAAGACGACCACCAACACCATGGCGCAACACAACCACGACACCACTCTACAAACACAACACAATGGTATAACACCAACTCCACAATCGCACACTTTGTCCACTTGCCCTTATTCTAATACATTTCTCTCTAATTATGGAATAGTTCACTTCAATTGATTTCCACGCCATCACCCACATTGCTAATTCTACCGTTAGTGCTCTACAAATGCAGCTCTACAATGATTTTACTTTTAAAATCTCGCTTAGCTATACTGACAATATCTTAATTTTTTTTGGAAAGGGTAAAAAATTTACAACACCTTTCGAAGCAAAGCACGATAGCGCACATAAGCGACTGTACTAAGCCCATAACTTCTTATTGCCGTCTCTAGAAACATGAAAAGCTTTTAAACATTGCACAATTTGATATTTGGTTACAAAATATCGATATTTATTGAGATATTCTCTTATTTTTAAATTACATTTTTTTTAGATTAACTAGGGACGAGTTACCTAAATATATAGATACTCTCTTTGTTGCTAGAAGCGCCTAAGTCATTCGCAAATCAATACTTTAGAGCACTTAACACCCTTTCTTTTTATATTGTAGTCATATATTTTCATATCATAACAGAAAATAACAAACAATTTCGCGTTTTCATTACAGTTTTACCATCTGATAAAAATGTATTTATCATTTACTAATATTTATCCTCAATAAAGGTATGCCTTGAATAATTAATAACCTACAAAAGTTGAGATTGAAAAATACATTACATAATGTCAAAAATGTCGTACACTGTCAAGAAGTAACTTTTTTATTTGAAAAGTCAATGGCGATACAGTACATCTACCTATTTAGAAATGCGACAATTTCATTAGCTTAATATGATTTAAAAATGTATTGTTGGATAATGTATGAAGTGGAATGTATTTTAAATGAAAAGCTTCTTCTCGTTCGGAGATAGTAACGCCTTTATTGCTCTCATATAACTGGACAAGTTAAACGGTTGATATTTATTTTGATACGTCGCGGCCAGGTCAAATGTTTAAAACAATCGATCCAAGGTTACAGGTGTCCAAGGACGCAAGGACGGCCAAGTGTAACCTTAGTGGTTATTATGCCGCCGACCATGGTGATGATTATTTTTTTAAATTATCCGCGACGAGTCCCTTTGTTGTGGAGTTGAGCGACCATTCCTGTCATTCAACATTGGGGCTGCCAACACCATTGATCATGGTGATATTTTTCTCTTAACTGCTCAATTGTTATAAGAACCGTTCGAAGTTCTTTATTTTGAAAATTTCTTTTACCAATGTGAGCTCTAAAGTGCAATTTTATAATTAGTTCAATATGTTTGGGTAAACCACAAGAATCAAACAAGCTTTTCTCTTTACTTATTGTATTAATATAGGTAAATAATTCGAAAAGTGTAAAACAAAATAGTTTTAACAGTGTATTTTCTATCTGGAATCTGAAAATCGAATCAGTCAAACGTAGTTACGAACAGTTATTTAGGAGAAATTGCTTTTGCATCTGTTTTTTTAAAAGGTCTCCAAAACATCTTGCTCAAAATATCGTTTTTCGCTCTCCGGACACGACCGTTGTATTTCCTAGGGAAATCTTCGAGATCCGGTAAAGAACCCAAAGTAGTCCTGGAATTTTTATTTTATAGAATTACACTGTTAGAAATTTAAATGAATGTGCAATATAATGAAATTCAACAGACATGTCCACGTATTGTATAAACAAAGGCGTGTCGCTGTCGTCGCGACTACCAGTTCTCGTCCTAGGTCGAGTTTCGTACATCTCCAAACCTGGAATTGGAAAAATGAACAATCAAATATTTAAAATACAATGTGGGTTACTTTTAAGATTATGTTCTTGGCATTACGTATTTTCTCGAAATCGGTGACTGGTCTTTTGTTGTTGTTATCCATATTAATATTATAACTAAGATTTGCATTTTTGTATTTTTGTATGTAAGCAAATAATTCAAAAAATACTGGACCGTTTTAGAAAATTCTTTCACCGTTAAAAATATACGTCATTAGTGAATAACATAGGCTACATTTTTTTATGATACTTCAATTTCACGCGGGCGAAGACGAGCAACAGCTAGTTGTATTATATGTAAATTGATAAAAAAGTGATCGAAACCGAGCACGGATTCTGTGGTAGTTTCTGGTGGGCTCGTGGTAGTGATGGTGGTGGTGTCAGGGCTATAGGGCTCCGTGCGGCGCTCCACCTCGGTACCCGTACGCAGCAACGGTCCACTGAACCTTGTAGTGCTTTGTACATTTCTTGCTCTGACTAAAATCATATAAATATTCGGTTAGTGACAGCCCTAGAGGAATCGAAGCGGCAGCTTAGCCGCCACTAATAAGGGGTGTCGAAACGGCACCCTTGATTTAGACTTTGTAATTAATAGAAATGTTAAAAAACTGCAACGAATATTATGAATGTATACAATTTTGAACGCAAATAAGGTTTATCTTAAATCATGTAACTAAATGTTTCCGATAATAGAACATGAAAATGTAAATGGAAAACTTACCGGCAAAATAAGCTAATTGTTCTTGCCCCGTATGGTAGCCGATGGTCATACCGTAAATAACAGATATTTGCATAAAGGACATAATTCCACCCAGTGTGACAAAGCACAGAAACCAGTTGGCAAGTCTATACGCAAATAATAAAAAAAAAAGATTAAACAGACTTTGTACATTTTAAACAGAATATATAAACATAGCTAAATGTAATTTAATTAGTTACCGGCTAGTGCATAAATCTATACCAGCGAACGTAGAACAGAGGATTCCCATATTTTTTTATTGATACTGCTGTAAAAATATACATTAACAATTCTTCAAACTATATCACTCTACCACTATAGAGGATTTCATTATGCCTGGTTTACATTTGGCCAGTACAGTTGGAGAGCAGTACAATACTGCGCAGACCTGGTATGGATTGTATTGGCTCACTGGCGCCAAAGTATTTAAATTATGCAAGCGTCATGTTGAGTGCTACTAGCCTACTTTACTGGTGTAATGTAAACCAGGCGGCCTTGCCTGTTGCTGCTATCAGTTTTTCTCTCAAATACAAGTCAGAGGAAAAAACACAATTGCCTCTACACTTTCATCAACTTTCTACTTGCTCTGTTTATTTCGTAGAAACTCTATGATTATTATATGGGTAATTTATTGAAAACTTGTCCCGAAAAACACATTTTAAAATAAAAAATCTTTGGCGCTTTCCGCTTCGTTAATTCAAAAATAAAAGACCAAGTATTTTAGCGATTTACAAATGTGACAACCTCAAGTCAAAAAACTCTATTTGTCAATTATATAAAATCTTTGGTTTAGAATTTAGAAGTAAGTTATTGTGTAAAAAATAATTTAAACCATTTTAATAGGCAGCGCCTCTTGCAGAATATTTCTAGTCCCATCTACGTACTAAAAATCAAATTCCATGTTTATTCGTAGAATAATGAAACCAAACCATTCCGAAATCCATATTTTTTTCAATGGAGATATTGCTCACAAAAGTGGCGCCATCTGGAATTTACAAACTCTCTTCCTTTTTTTATCATATAGAATTGTCTGTACTCTTACTTTAAAAATATCGGACATGTAAAAATATTTTTTTCTTTTAGTAAAAGGAAAAATAAAAAAACAAAAAACTGCAAAGAATAATTTTAATAAACAACTTGTATAATAAAAACACAATTTACAACAGTCTCAAATATCAAGCTTTCACAACCGCTATAAAAAAACAACCAATTCCGTTTTCAAGACATTCTAAATTATGTACTTTATTGCGGTTTGAACGCACAAATAAATCGGCAAATAAAATGTGATTATTTTAATCTTTATTTCAATTCGGTAGTATTGAAGATAATGTAAACACTATAAACTGTCAAATACATCTGGCATTCTAAAAAAAATCCTTGCGATTTATAATATTCAAATAGATAATAATTTCTTCATTTCTCAATTCATAATCAAACAAGAATATCTGTCCCGATAAGACTCTGTTATAGTTAGTTTAATGAAATATGTAAAAAAGGCATTGAATGTTACAAAAAAAACATGACAGCTACAGTACGGTGTCTTTGACATTTATTTGACAGTGACAGAATGGCGCTAGTGAGCATAATTTAGTTTGACTATGCCCATTTGGTCAGATATCGTGTCGATCTATAACGATGTAATCTGAAATTATATGAAAACTGTAAGATATAAATACAAAATACATTTACAATACATAATAAATAAGCTAATATAATTTTATTGCTCTTTACATTACTATAACTAAGGTAACATAACAACTTAGATAAAAGTACACAATAAACTCAGTGAAAAAATACTAAAAGTGTGATAAAAATATAAGAAATATGAAGGGATTAAAAGGCTAGCAGTTATGTTCAATACTTTGATAAAAATTAAAATGTTAAGGACCTGTCCCACCACTGATAGAGGCTCAGATAGCTTAAAAGTAACGTCACTGTCAGAGTACCAAAATCCTATACTTCCATCACATATTTCATACGTCAGATTGTCTGATAATTTACAAGAATTGTGGGACAGGCCTTTAATATCATTAGATATATGTATAAAAATATACATGATTGGATAGATAAATAGAAAACTAGATAGAAATGAGAACTTGGCCTTTTGCTAGTACTGCCATTACATATAAGAATTTTATTAAACGAGATATATTTAATTATTTTTTAAATAAAATTATTTAAAATGCGTGAAACATCGGTTTAGGTAACCTAGAACCCAAAATTAGAGCAAACCTAAAGTTATTGTGAAAATTGTATTGTACAAAACAAATATATTGAAAAAAAATGCCGTTTTAGTCTAAAAGTCCAAAAACTATAGTTAGTGTAAAAATGCTTGCAACTTTAAGCTAGTAAAAATAATTTAAATATACTGTTTTAGTTGATCGTTTAATAATAGTTTCTAAATAAAATTGTATAGGTATTGTACAACACACCATTTAAAAAAAAACAAATAAATATGGACAAATCGATTTGAGCAAATGTAAAATTAACAAATAAACCAAAAAAATAATGTACGAATGGGGTCCTTGTACCTTAGTAATTCGTGTAAATACATTTTCATGGTCATGTATTGACTATAACCCTGTTCTAATAAAAAATATATGAAGATTTTAATTTATTCCTTATGAAAAATAAAAAAATACTTATTATTTGCTATTTTAGCAGAGCTCCATATTAAATTCCTCACCTTTACAAGGCGTCCCAATTGTTAAAAGAGGGATGCTGTCTAGGTGTGGGCTAAGCTAGTATAGTGGGCAATTACGAGACGTATGTACCGATGGACTAGGCTCGCAGTGGGCAACTATGCAACTTATGTGGGCGATGGCTTGCCATGCAATAGGCTGTCTACGCGTGGGCTAGTCACACAAAGTAGCAACTTATGTAGTCAATGTGTATAGCTTGTAGTACAAGCTAGGAGTGGGTTAATCACGCATAATGGGCAATATATCAAGTTATGTGGGCGATGTCCATAGCGTGTCCTGCATCAGGCCGTCTAGGCGTGGGCTAGCCTGACAAAGTGACAACTTATGTGGTCTGTTTAGTGTGCCGCGCAGGGTCGGCGTGGGCTGTTTAACATGTGCAGGCTGTCTAGGCGTGGGCTACGACGCACAGTGGGAACCTGATGTGTGCGAGTACTCGTTTGCGTGCAGTAAGTCCCACAACGGCAGCTCCGTGAGCGCGGTGTGCAGCTCGTGTGTGAGCTGTGCGAGGAGCGCGGGCGCGACGTGGGCGACACTGGCGCCCCGCGCCCACGTGCGCACCAGCCCCGCCGCGCCGCTCAGCGGACCTAGCCCAGTCACATGCATATCCATTGACCTGGAAATACATATTTTTTATGTATTTAAACGATATATAATACATTAATAACCTGTTTTAGTTTAAAAGGTGCTCAGAAAAATAAGAGAGCTAAAGCGTAACAGATTGTTTATATAAACTATGGAGTGCTAAATGTCATCTCTCTTTCTCTTTATCTTAGTGCTCTTACCACAAAACATAATTTTAGGTGTGCCAGGGCTTAATGCGATGCGGAGGATGGAAAATTGAGCAGCCAAGATACTTAATAAGAAAGTACGAGTTCTTTACTGGCTCTTGCTTTTTTAAATTTGAATCATCTAAGCAAAGAAAATTGAATTTTCTTTCCTTAGATGATTATAGGTTGTGTGTCCACCCCAAAGAGAAAGTTTAAGTGCTGAAGGTTCCGGTGTGTTCCTTGGAGACCCCGGAAACTTCGTCACTTGAGAATGGCTATAGAGCATACGAGCATGCCCCTATTCGGCAGGGTGTCTTTGGGCGATTGCCGACACCAAAAAAAGGTTATGTGTACTGACTGCAAGTGGTCGAGACGTAGACAGTCGAGCTGCAGGTAGGGCTGCGCGTAGGGCGGGGCGTAGGGCGGGGCGAGCGCGCGGCCGGCGGAGAGGCGCAGGTGCAGCGCGCAGTCGGCGAGCGCGGCCGACACGCGCCCCGAGCACGACACGCCCATCGCGCGCATGCGGTACCCCTCGTACCCCATCTGCCACATCACACTCAGCTAATACACCCCATCTTCAATTAAAGCTTACTTTGATGTTGAAATAACTTGTTTCATTTCATAAACCCGATAGTTGGATTTTATAAAGCAAATACCTGATTTATTTAAAACTTATTTACTATTAATATATTTATTAATATAAAAATGTCTAAAAAGAACAGAATATCGCTCGGATCCGAGTAGGAGGCACCGTGACTATGGCTCCGAGTGATCGGCACTGAATTTATTAAAATTACTTTTATTTGCGCTATTCCACTTTATTTTTTTTTATCATCTACAACTTAATTAGATAAAGGCCCGTAACTCATACGTAGAAAATCATTCGTAAAGATTATTTACAAATATTGAGGTGTTTAAAAATGTATACAACCAACTTGTAGATCCTTTATCTTGAGGGTGACGCTGAAGCTGGTCCTGTCGCCGGCGAGCAGCGCGACGCTGACGTCCCCGACCCTGTTGATGGTGGCTAAGTTCTTCACCCAGCCCGCCTCCGTCTCGAACTTGCCCACGAACGATATCGATCCTATCTAAACATAAATCTATTACACGGATGACTAAAACATTGATGATAAGACCATTATTGTAGATTCCTACACTCAGAGACACCACTTAAAAATTCGTTAAGTGTAGCAAGTGTAGTTAATAATGGTTTCAATTCTGTAAAAATCGTAGCCGTGAAGTAAAGGCAATGAGCGGCAAGCCCACGCTTTTACATACATTTGTTTTTGATAGGCTGTCGTCGAGTGGGCAACTTGTCACCAGTGCCCACTTGCAAGTAAGAACAAAGTTGTCAAAGAGGGAAAATATAGTAGGTATTGCTTATATTATCTGGTTAAAAAAAAGGTAACGAAGATAAATACTAAATTTGAAGCAGTCCTTAATTAGCCAAGCCCTTATGTTCATTTTTATAGTATGCCGTCATACAACTATGTATACGATCACTATTTGAGGTTTCTATGTTTTTATAGCGCAAACAACGTAACATACTTTGATATATCATCTATCGATTACTGCCAGATATTAGCGCGCTTTTCTGTTCTACTTCTGTTTGACATTGACAGCTGTCATAGGGACGGACGTGTATGCCAATGATCTAGTGTTGTGCCGCTATACCGGCAAGGTACCGATTTCTTAACACTATAAATATTTTTATTTTGCTATACATAAAAAAAATCTTGCTATATACCTTGTGCATGAATGTGGCGTGCAGCGGCGGCAGCTGCAGCAGCTCACGGCGCGTCTGCAGCAGCGTGCGCCGCATGTTGATGAGCACCATGTCCACGGCGCGGTTGCCCTTGGCGCACAGCTCGCGTGCCATCGACCTAACAGTACAATACCCTAATTTTTTGAACTTTTTTATTTCTTTGTTGTGTTTTTTTTTCCTCTTATTCCTAATTGTTTTGTAGTGGTGATAAGATTAGATGTTATTCTGTTTTTATTTTATTTTTAAAATGCTAACACAATTATTTCAATAAAACATGATGTCTGGTGGATAGTGGGCACATGATTTTTTTTTGGTGATAGCAATTTTTTTTCTTTATTAAAAATCATAGTTTACATATTTTCTGCTTGGTTACTTTACTAATACTACGTTCAAATTTAAATAAAACAATACAATTTTAGCAGTTAAAATAATAAATGGATTTATTATTTTAACTATTAATAATAGATAATAATAAATTAAGATAATTGCTATTTTAAGTTTTTGAATCACTTATCATGGTAATACTTAACCCTTAACTAGAGGGAGTTTTTGTAGCAAAATATTATGTTACCAACACACTACAATCAAAGTCTCACGTATTTTAGATCAAAACTACTTCAGTAGTTTTTTTTTAATTAGTTCGTCACACTGGACACTATTGAATTAAGGATTAATGTGTCTACATAATTAAGGTCCTATCCCACCAAAATTATAAATTGTCTGATAACAATCCAACATGTAAAATATGTCATATAAATATCGGATTTTCTTCTCTTATCTAACAGTGATGTCATTTTTAAGCTATCTGAGCCTCTATCAGCCAGTGGTGGGACAGGCCCTTAATCTATTAACAATACAGAAAATTATACAAGACATTAGCTATTTACTAGTTTGTTGGACAAAGCCAGCAGAAAACTGTCACTTTAGTCAAGTATGAAGGTTTACCTATAGACTTCTAGTAGGCTAGGGTTTGTATAGAGCAGGTCGGAGACGCTGGTGGCCTGCCGCAGCACCAGCGCCAGGTGCCGCTGCAGCCGGTGTCGCAGTAACGCGTACAGGGGCAAGGATACTGCTGCGGTCAGCGGTAGATCATCTGGAATTGTTTTTTTTTTTAAATTGAGCACATTTTTAACTATAATGGTATAAAGTAGCTGTTAGTCGCGACATTTTCTGAAATCGGCTTAGTAGCTTTTTAATTTTTATAATATCATATTTTATATATCGGCGCAACAAAGCTTCATCTAGAGATCTGTAGTTTTATCTAGAGTCCTTACCTATGTGTTTAGCTAATTGTTCCGTTGTCGTAAATTCATATCCACCATTTCTTTGAGGTGATGGCCATGACAACTGAAATCATTTTTATAACATTATCAGATAATATATTTAGTAGTTGGGATTCTTTGATGAACAACTAAAACGCTAGATAAATCAATTAAAACTTTAATTCTCTTATTACCCTATCTACTCTGTTAATGTTTGATCTGTCTTTTGCTCTTCAACCTCTCTCTTTGTCGCTCACTTGCCCTCTCTGTTACACTTCCATTCCGTTTCCTTCCACGCCAAAATCTATTCCCACATATATTAGTCAACCGATCCGCAGTGGACCAGCAGGTAACTAAGGCTAAGACCCCATAATTTAAGCTAGGCTTCGCGCCACTGGTTTATACACAAATTTTCCAATTTTCAGAGTTTTAAAAAATTAAAAAGTTGGTGGCATAGTTAAATTATAATGAGAATATTTTTTTTATAACTATAAAGATATAATACACATATTTACCTTGACTATAACTTCATCATGTACAAAATCAATTCCGGGGTTTACGAATGAGAACACGTCATCTTCCATCACCAGACCTACATTTACATCAGCTGTCATATTTGATAGTGATATTCTGAAAATAACCTAACAATTAGAAATACAACAAATACTATGTTGTTAATTTGTATATGATTGAGAAACAGAAGTGATCTAAAACAGAAATTAAAAAAAAATAATAGAAAAAACATTTTGTTCTAAATAAACACATAGACTCAATGTATAACTTTTTCAAATCTTACCAATATTATAAAAGTGAATGTTTAGATGGATGGATGTTTTTTAGATTTTGTAGCTTAAGCGGCTGAAGGGATCTCAATGAAATTTGGCATAGATGTAGGATAGTCTAGAAGAATGTATAGGCTACTGCTTAAGTTTTTTTTTTAATTCCATGTAGGGGGCAAAAGCTTATATAAAATAATATAAAGCAGTAGTAGCAAAACATAGAATACAAAATCATTAAATTACCATATCCTTCATTGTACAGACCTTTTAATAAAGAAAATACAATTAAATACTTTGTGATATACATGTTAACAATTATGTAATAAGTTTTAAATATGGAGTTATAGAGAAGAACTTGGACCAATATTTTAAGATCTTACAAAATAGTTAGATTAAGGGGAAGACAATTTTTTAGAAACCGCACACAGTGGAGTAGGTTAGTTTTGCTGCAGATTTCATCACTGGTAGCTTGAGTCACAAGATTAAGCACTTGGTGGAGCATGATTGCATAAATACTAAATATTTCTTAATTGTTCTTAATTACAAATGAATTCCCATGTTGGAGGCAAAGACTCATTTTGGGTTGGTCTGCCAGCACAGAAAGTAAGTAGTAAGTAATGCACATTTTAAATTTACAGAAAAAAATAATTCAAACACCAATTGATTGCTTATTATTATAGAACATAAAATATCATTTAATATTATTCCATAATGTACTACATATTCCCATAGAGTATATTAGCAATATCAAAGATTATGAAAAAAGAATGTTACTTACAAAACATGTCCCTCTGACATGACAGGTATAAGGTTATATAAGTTTTCATTAAATGCACTGTACAGGCCTTTAACACCGACCTCTCCCAGTGAACATCTCAGACTTAGCGCCATTGACTTCAGGTCTAGAGATACCGTCTGCAGGTGGAATGTAGGCATCCTGAGTAGCTCCAATCTTGTTAGATTACTGGAAGTAATACATTTGCATATTTAGTTAAGTTATATAAAATAAGTAATTAAATTTATAAATTTCCCACTGTTTGTCCACATATATTATAAAAAAAAACAGGACAGTGCAGTGTTCTTTTTTTAACATTAGATAACTGGCTGTTACTGGCAAGTTCGCTTGAGTGAAATTAAAAAATAATAAAAAAAGGCTATATTATTCACTGAGAACATAGCTTTATAATGGGCAAAAATGTTTAAATTGGCCCAGTAGTTTTTGAATTATTCCAAAACAAACAAAAATACAAATCTTTCCTCTTTATAGTTTTTATTAGAGATAACAAAGTCATTTACTATGTCAGTCAAGTTCTTGCAATTTTGAAACTAGTTGCAATAGTGATTTAAACCACTTAGTTAAACTTACACTTGGGTGTTTTTAGCAAAGTATGATGTGTCTTCCAGTACATCCGGTTTGATTTGTTCACCATTTTTATTCTGTTGCAATACAACATTTGTGAAACTCTGAAATAATAAAATTGCATATAGCAAATTCAACTTAAAACATATTTAAGAACATACATTTATTTTGGCAGTTGTAAGCTGTATAGATAAAAAGCAGAAACAAAAATGCAATTAGATATCTTTGAATGCACAAAAATTGACAAATGTTGTTATTGTAATAGTATAAAAGTTACCCGTTTGATAACATCTTGTAGATTTGGTTGAACATTTGTTAATAGATCCAGCAACTCTTGTTTAATATCCACACTTTCTTCGTCAGACATCTTGCTACATACATCACCTCGATAGTAGTATAAAAGGGAAATTTTGTTTGAAGTAGTATTTAAATTTAGTCGAATTAACGAAACATATTGTTTAAATATAATTTGTAATTTTGTACAGCAAGGCAGTGACAGAGTGACATTGACAGAAACTAATTGACATTGACAAAGAAAACTGACAACCCAAATGTCATTGAATTATAGATTATGTTTTATATAGGTTCTGAACGCTTATTACTATTTTTATTTGATGACTATCTGTTCCCATGCGCCTTCATACGAATGATATCTACCTAATATTATAAATGCGAAAGCTTAGATGGATGGATGGATAGATGGATGTTTGTTAGAGTTTGTAGCTTAAAGGGCTGAACAGATTTCGATGTGAATTATGAACATAAATGTGGGGGGTACTCCGGAAAAACACATATAGGCTAGTTTTAAATAAAGTTTACATTCAGTATTTCATACCAAATGACGACAAAGGTCTTTTCTATTGGCTTAGAAGTTGAGTAACCATTTCAACCTTTTTTGCAGCTATAAATTGTACTTTTTGTACTATTCTCGCAGAATCCTATTGTCCCGATTTACTGGGCCCGTAAATTTCAAAAGTTAAGAAGTTATTCAAAACACCTATAAAGTTTTAACGAATGTTTATTATTGTATTCTAGAACAGTGTTATATTATAACAATTTAAAGATTGTTTAAAAACAACACAATTAATAACGGTCAACAATTTTACCACAAATACACCCCGGAAGTATTGTTTAAGTTAAGGTGAAAATTTTTTTCACCTTTGTGCTCTATATTAGGCAATTAGATTATTTCTAGGTAACTTATCTAAAAATACAGAATTCTTTTCACAACTTTTTTGTTTGTGTGTTTTCCAATACACTTTTATTTATTTTGGTTTCAGAAGTGTCTGCGCTTGCCGATTTGTCGCTCTTTGAATGATTTTCGTCACTATGGCTAAAATCAATTTGGCCTTTGATGCTTTCGACGTCTTCTGGCTTCATATTGCTTCGATTTTCGTTTTCAATTTCTTCTTCTTTACTAATGGATGCAGCGTCGCCTTCAAATTTATCAATTGTTATCTCAAAATTAGTAGTATCATTTTTATCATCATTTAGAATTTCATTTGATTCTGAATCTTTAGTCTGTTTTGGTATTTCACTTATCTGTACTTCGGTTTTGTGATTTAGTTCATTTTCATTCTCACTGTCGGTATTTTCTTTATTTTCTCGGGAATGCTCTTCATGATTAAAAGCAATTAGTTTTGGCTCTGGGAAATAAAAATTATAATTTATATGTTATTATTATAATTATAAGTTATATGTTATTATTATTTATAATTTATTATTTAGTTATTAATTATTAATTAGTTATTAATTATAATTATAAGTTATATGTTTTATTTACAACTCATTATTTTCTCTCGAAAGTTTCTTACCACATTCCGTAATAGTACTGATCATCTTTACGTTGTGGATAATAGCATTAGAAATAAATGTGAAGACATGCCGTTCAAGTAAATTTTTTAAATTTCCTATGATCCTATTCGCAGGCCCTTCCACAGTTATTGATTCTGGCCTAAAATTATCAAAAGGTTTAGTTACATATTACAAAAATAAAATAAAAACAAAACAGAACGACGAACACATGTACCTGGTTTATCTAATTCAAATTTTGTTCTTTACTTACTTTACATGTTCTATGGAGTCGATAATTATTTTCAAGGTTTCTGGGTTTTTATTAAGAACTATTCCCATGTGGGCAATTAATTCATGTGCTGTTACAAACAATACACCATTTACTGGAGGCACTCCTGTGTTGAATACAGCTTCGTAATTATATGTAGCCTAATAAATAAGGTTTTCAATAAATCTTTAAGCTTCAAATAAATGAATTTAAACTTAGTAACATTATATAACCTGTAAATTACCAAATCCAACTGTCATGTCTATTTTACGAAACTGGTCTTCTTTCTTACACGTCGCTACGCCTCTTCTATGAATTGTGTTTAAGCCTCGTAGCACACCCTTCGTAAGCTTTATTTGCTAGAGAAAACAGAATACCAGACTTTATTACTTGTTTTTCATGTACTCAATATTTTCTTGAAATAAAACGAGAGAAGCGAGCAAATGGCTTACTTAAGTAACAAAAACTCACCGTTGTGGTGAGTTTTTGTTCGCAACGCAAAGTTTATTTGCCAGTTTATTGTAGCAAAGAATAAATTATAAAAGGATATCTCATATAATATCACCACAAAAGTGGCAAAGCAACAACTCATAGTATTAGTGTAGTTTTTCATAGTAATTCTGGAGCTATTTTCCTTTTGGACTTTTAATAGTCTGTCTATTCCTAGCGGTAAGAAAAAATATTTGAAAAAATATTCATACAATTCCAGTAACAGCGGTAACTGTGAACTTGGGAATTTGAACAGCTTCGAAACTCAAGTCTCTTAATCTCTTTTTCATTTTTTCTAAAACTTGATCGGTATAATCGTTTAGTGAAAGATATTTTTCCTTTTCATATTCCCTGTAAATAAATCAAGAATCTAGTTATTTTTATAATTATCCACATAATGCAATTTCACTTCATTTTATCTCACAATTTCCCTTAAATTTTGGTTTAACTGTTTATTTGGTGAAAATCTTATACTCGTACAATTCGAGAAAGTTCGAGGTAACAATTTTGTGGTACGGCGAGGAAAATACAGATTTATTTTTTGATTTGGAAACATATCAAAGAAAACTTACAATAATTCAGCATTAGCTTTACTTCCCTCTATACCAAAATACATTAAATAATCATTGAAATAATCTTTTAACCATTTATCCAAATCCGTTTTTAATCTGTCCAGAAACTCATCTACAATAAGAAAAAATAATTAAATCAAATTAAATTTTAAATGGAATGTATTTAATAATTACCGATATTTTTTCGCTGTAAAGTTATTGGTTTAGTTGTATCTTCATTATTTTGATACTGAAAATGAAGACAAAAAGTCAATTGACGGAGTAGAAAAAACTAGAAATAGATTAAAGATGTTGGTAATGTTTGGTCAAAAGTTCTCAAAACTGCATACAAATGATGATGAAAGAATAAAAATTACTTACTGTCATTAATATATCGTTTGTATTTATATCGGAAACAACAAGCTCGATAGTCAGTTTGTTCCGTAGCAAACGGTACCTTCCCTCCATATTGTATTGCACGTTTCGTAATAGAAATCTATTGTTAACCAAATAAGAAAATACAAATAAGTCGTTTTGCTTACATTCGACCCCCGCAGTTTGGGATAATTCCCAACGGAGCCGATTTTCTTTTTCAGGTGTACAGTTAAGATAAATAAGAAAAGGGAAAGGTATGCGTAACTTGTAACCTATTGTTGGATTTAGGAATAAGAAGAAACAAATTTTTCGAGTTGTTAGGACAAATTAAAATAAAAGAATCTTCATTTAACTGTAAATTTTGACAATATTCTTAATTTTCATTGGTCCGTTCATCAACTAGCAAGCGCAATAAATTTAATTCTCCCTATATGCGAAACCATTTGTCGAGTTTCCTCGTCTATAAAGGAAGTTAATAAAATAGTCCTTCAAGCCGGATAACCGTAAATCCGGCTATATCCGACACAGATGTTGTTACTAACGAAATTTATCTTCATTTTTGGTTCCACATTGTGATTTGAAGGATATGAAAAAACTGATATCGTTAGGGTTTAAAATATTGTGTGTCGTGTAATAAAGGAATTTTCAATTATAAATTTCATTGATAGATTTTATAGCGTTACACTGGAAGTACTTGTTTTACAAAATGTATACTTTTTCGAAGTGTACCTTCTTGTCATGTATTGAACACTAAACTCAACACACATATGTATAAAATATTTTGCAAACCGAATAACATCCTACGATATAGTTCAAATTGCAAGATACACATTACCCAGAGAAGGAACATATTTTCGTTCTTTAATTCGATAGATTATCCTAGGCTTCGTATATTTTACATAAATGTTTCTTAGTACCGATAGATGTACTTACTCTACTTCACCGAATGTAGGCTTGTAGAATAGTTCAGATGGATCTGATTCAGTAAGAACACGTTCATAAGCTCCCAGTATGTGGAGATCATTGAGCGATAACTTTGCTGTGAGGACCATGTTGGAAAAATCATTGTGCAAGGCATCAACGCGGAAGTGTGTGTTGTTTCTGAGCTTCATTCGGTGGAAGAATCTGAAAAGGAGACTTCATTTATTAATTTATAAAAAAGCTTGCAGTTTACGAGTATGAATAGAGATTATCTGTAAACTGTAACCCTCAATTTAGACGAGAATAGCCGGTATCTGCTTACCGTTCTAACTTCAATACCACCATGTTCAAACAGTATGAGCTATTTACTGATTCTAATCCAACAGAGCATGAGAACAAACGGATGCGATATTTATGATCTACACTTATTTTTAATGCTTATAAAATGGTCTCTGAACTATCATACTTTAAAATATCATTTTCCTGAAGGACAAATTCTATAAACTAGAGTAACAAGACGATAAAAGCACATTATCGCAAAAATACTTCCGCGCGATTAAAAGACCTACGAGTGATATTGGCCAAATATCATATAATATTCATAATACCATTAACCTATTTTTTTATTGCGTATCAAGAGAAATTCCTTGGCAGGCTCGTAATCTCTACATGACGTAGACGCGGACGTAGCCTTGGAGAATTACATATGGACAGGATTATTAGGGAGCCACATGTCCCGTGGACCGTGACAGATTACAAGCAGGGATGGAGGGATTTGTGAGATTGTAAACAAGTAAGTAATTTTCACTTATCCACGTATAGAAAATCCCATATGAAATATTAATGTTATAATTTACTTGCCATTTTTTTTATAGCACAAAGTGGCAAACGAGCAAGCGGCCACCTGAAACCACCAAAATGCCGAAGCGACCGCTGCCCATAGACATCCGCAATTGCAGATGCGTTGCCCTACCCTTATGCGACGGAGGAGGAGACGCACCTAAAGAGGATATTTCCGCTTCCTATGCATCTCCTCCACCGTCAAATCCACTTCTCTTCCCAACCTCTCCTTAAAAGAAAAGGGTGATAAAGAGAAAGGGACTTAAATTAGGCCTCCAAGGCCATTTTAGTAACGAATCAGAAAGTAATTTCTTGTATACTGATGTTAAAGTTTTACTTTTGATATATCTTCAGGACTAAATATATTGTTTTGACAACGTTCGAGGATAGAGTAAAGCATTTCCTTTAGTGATAGAGTTATTATCAGTTGTAAAATTAGTAAATAAATCTACGCATCAAAATCTTACAACTTACAGAATAGAATCTTGCAGTCTCATCATGCTGTAACCTCCGAGATTGATACCAGCTGGTATGAAGCTGGGATCGCCGCCGGATCCTTGTGAAACTCTTTCCGCTGTACCTTTAGACTTCAGCATCATCTACATGAGAATTGATATGGAATTATATAAAAACTGCATTCTTATTCTTTTCTTTTGAATCCTTATTCTGGTGAATATTTGCGATCCCCCGTTAACAATTCAAACAGTTTAAATTAGTCTTAGTAATTTAAAGTACAAACAATTTCTTTAACTCACATCCAACATTTGTTTGTCCAAGTCGTCGCTTTCGATTGCTTCTTCATATTTCTTACGTACGGATTCGAATCGATCTATGAATTAAAAAAAATAAAAACACGTAAAGATATAACTCTGATTACATTCTTTTAAATTATCTTACCGTCTAATCCATCCATTGTTTCGAAATGATTTTTTGCATTTACTTTCATCCAGCATTTATTCTTGAGGTCCTTTTCTTGCAGGACAGACTGTGATATCACAGGAGGTAGACCTTCTTTTTTTCTCTTTTCAGCGTCATCTGTTTGAGGTACTTCTGATATATTTTCCCGGTGTACAATGGCATCGGTCGTAGAATTATTTAAAGTAATTGGCCCGAATTTTTTTCTGCTATATACTTTTCGACGCAGAAAACGTGCTTTAAGGACACCAGAAAATGTAAAACTCTAAGTAATTAAATTAGACAAAATTAGACAAAACAAATGTTTTTCAAGAGGCTAATCATGATTATTAGTAAACATTATTAATTTTTCTAACACTTAGTTATTAAACTAAATTCTTACCTTTCCCATTTTTTGATTTATAAATCGTATCACTATTAACATATGACGAGCAAATAATAACAAAAATAAAGGTTAAAATTAAAACTTGTGGAAAACACGTTGTCATTGCGTTTGTTTCTTTATGTTAAAATCAAATTTTTAATTATCTTAACATAACGAGAATTTTTAGAAATTGCAATTTCAATTATTTTTAATTGTTTTTCTATTATGCAACTAAGAATTTCATTATTTTTGTTTATAACGCAGTTTGGGACAATTCTGTACCTTAGGGTAAAACCCTTCATATATAGATAATAATCGCCGTAGGTTTTCACGGTTTCGTCACATCCACAATTATAATTAATTTGATTTCTCATTTTATGTTTTTGTACGTTTTTTTTTATAACATAAGGTGGCAAACGAGCAAGCGGCCACCTGAAATCGCCAATATGGCGAAGCGACCGCTGCCCATAGACATCCGCAATTGCAGATGCGTTGCCTACCCTTATACGACGGAGGAGGAGACGCACATAAAGAGGATATTTCCCGTTCCTATGCATCTCCTTCACCATCAAATCCACGTCCTCTTCCCAACCTCTCCTTAAAAGAAAAGGGTGGTAAAGAGAAAGGGATTTAAATTAGGCCTCCGGCACCACACTCATCAGACGAAACACAGAATTGCTCCCATTTCACGTCTGTCTTGTGTGTGGTCGTGGTATTACACCGGGCGTGCCGGCCCTGCAGTGCTAAGATGTTAAAGGGGGCACTACCACTGTTATAACGTATAACGACAGTGGAAAAGTAAGGTTAGGAAATATGCAATAAAACATTATTCCTACGCCGCTAGTTCAACATCATATGCATGACTTCTCATACAAATTTTCCACTGTATTACCAAAAGTCTTTAAATTAATTTATACCGCCATATCATATGTTCGAAAACAGTTTTGTCTTTTTTTCTCCCTACATCTATGTTAAATTATAGGGGAGTTTCTCTATTATGTTGACATTGTGTATCGAGAAAACATGCGGATTTTCAGATTAATATTTTTGTGCGAGTACATGTGATCATCGTATTGTAAATCATACTAATATTATAAATGCGAAAGTGTAGATAGATGGATGGATGGATGGATGTTTGTGTGTTAGAGTTTGGAACCTAAACGGCTGAACGGATTTCGATTAAATTTGGCATAGATATTCTCGTAGAGAATAGTCTGGAAGAACACATAGGCTACTTGCATTTGTTATTTTTTTAATTCCGCGCGGACGGAATCGCGGGCGAAAGCTAGTAGTTAAATAAATTAGTCTTAATGATTGTTGTAGCAATGACAATAAAATATCTTTTTTTAAATGTTAAAAATACTGAATTTATGGAATACAAGATAGAAGGTTAAAATCTCCATTTTTATAACTCTACATAAAAACTTCTGCTGAAGGTTAGAATGTAAAAATATTTTCCTTATCTTTTTAATTAAATAACTTAATGAACTTTTGGCTGTAAAACTTTAGTTACATAGTTTAATGAAACATTCTCCCCGATGTCATTGAAACTTTAAGAATCGCTGGAATATGAATTACTTTTTCATTTTCTTAGTAGTTTTTGAAGTAATATTGGAGAAGTATTTAATTCTTTCTGACTTTGGATCTGATATTTTGAATTACTATAAAAGCGGTAAGTCATTAAATAGTAATTCTTTAAAAAAAATAAAAAAATACAGACGAATTGAGTACTTCCTTCTTTTGGGAAGTTTAAAAATCATCATCAGCCTTTATCTGCCAACTACTGGACAAAAGCCACTATTGTAAAAAAGCAAGTTAAAACATTAACAGTAAAGATACCTTTATGTGATTTTTTTATTGAAATGATTTCCTTTGTTTTTAATATTTAAATTTCTTTCTAAATAGAAAAAGTAAACAATTTTCGAACGCAATGGGAGCAACACAGAAAGCCATTCGAGAATGCTTTAAAAGTAGTAAGTAAATATTTTGTAACATAACAGTTGTTGGAAGAAAAAAAAACACTAAAGTAATTCATCATCACATAGCCACCGAGGGGTTCGGAGCCTACCCTAATAAGGGGTGACTAAAGTCATTAATTGGTGGAAAAAAGGGAAAAAGAAGTTTTACATTTCATTCGCATTTCTGCATGTGAAAAATTACATTTATTCATAACTAATCTTCGCCCGCGACTACGTTAGCGTGGAATTAGAGGAAAAAAATACATAAGTAGCCTATGTATTCTTCCAGACTATGCTCTACATCTATGCCAAATTTCATCCAGATCCGTTCAGATGTTAAAGCTAGAAACTCTAACAAACATCTATCTATCCATCCACCTGGTAAACTTTCGCATTTATTATATTAGTAAGATTAGTAAGAAGTAATATTCTTTTTTTTTTTTAATAAATTTGATACACAGGCATTGAGAGAGAGTTTTGGCAAGAAAACAATGAATGCTATCGAAAGAAAAATGGAGAATGAATGTAAATTATCTACAGGATTTTATGTGTTCGATAATATGGTGCACGTGTAAGTACTAGTTATGAATTAATTTTGATAACATTTAGGTTTAATTGACACGCCTCTTAAATATACCGAATTAAATTTATTTAACCAAAGTTGAAGGTTAAAACTTTATATCGTTTTAACAAGTAACAAGTTTTCTTTGTAAACCGTAAATTTCTAGCTTTTTCCAAGAAATGCACCTTACCGAGTTACCACACATAAAAGAGCCGGAAATAAGTTTTCTGTTAGCGTACAATGCTCTGTCAGTCGAGGTAGAACTAGGCAAGATGATAATCGAGACAGATTATTATATGATGAGGAACTCCTCGGATGTATTGTCGGCTGGCGAACAGGATCCATACAAGAATTCACCATTTGTTCTACAGCAAGTTCAGGATGAAGGACATTTGGCGTAAGTAAATAAATCTTTTAAAAAGGTCGTTCATTACCTACGCTCTTTGCTCAGAATACCGTTATGTCGAATACGAATTAGTTCCAAGGGTAGCAAGGTTACTCTTTTGGCGGTATTCTATAAAAATTGATGCCATCATCATCACCAGCTCACTGTACAGTCCCAGTGAGGGGCTCGGAGCCTACCCTAAGTTAGGGGTGACTAAGCCATAGTCAACCACGCTGGCCCACTGCGGGTTGGTTGACTTCACACATTTGTCAGTGGTAGTGTTCGCTTTAACATCTTAGCACGAATGGGCCGGCACGCCCGGTGTAATACCACGACCACACAGAAGACAGACGTGAAATGGACGCAATTCCGTGTTTCGTCTGATGAGTGTGGTGCCGGAGGCCTAATTTAAGTCCCTTTCTCTTTACCACCCTTTTCTTATAAGGAGAGGTTGGGAAGAGGAAGTGGATTTGACGGTAGAGGAGATACATAGGAAGGAGAAATATCTTTATGTGCGTCTCCTCCTCCGTCCTATAAGGGTAGGCAACGCATCTGCAATTGCGGATGTCTATCCGCCTATCGCGGATATCCTGAAACCGCCAAAATGGCAGCGGTCGCTTCGCCATTTTGGCGGTCTGGTTTCAGGTGGTCGCTTGCTCGTTTGCCACCTAATGTTATAAAAAAAAGAAAAAACATACATTTGAAGTTCTTTGCCGATATGTGCGTGTTGCATCACATCAAATTCAACGTCGACATCAACGACGGGTAAATTATAAACATATGGAATTCGAAAAATTGAAAATCAAATCAAATGGCGGGATTCGAACCCAAGACCTGTAGATTACAAGTCAAGTGCTTAAACCCCTGAGCCACCGATGATCTAATTTTAGTAATAATAAAATTGATGTCTTTAACAATATTTCAGAATCATAGCTGAAGGTTGCTCTATAAGTGGTTTTACAATAGCTAGACTGACTGGATTCTCAGTTACCTTAGGTCATGATACGTTTGCTTTAAGAAATTGCAAATTTAACATCGAGGTATTTACAATAATTTACATTATTTGTGGTTTTAATAAGTAATGTGTGTGAGGAGTATCAAGTTTAAAAAATAACTGGATATATTAAAACCAGATTTCAGGAGAAGGTTCCGGTTCACCGCCAGTAATAGCTCCTTATTTTACAAAAATACAAGGTAACTTATTAAGACAATTGATGTATTTAACGATTATGATGTCCAGGCATCTTTGAGTTAGAGTTGACTTGATTTGCTTTTAAAAAAACTTAATTAAAAACATGTATTTATTTGCAGCAAGTATTTTGGAAAACATTTTAAGCAAACCGATACGAAAAGAACTCATTGCGAAGCTACGATCAGCGGCATTTAGTTTCGTTAACACTTCTATTTTAGAAGATGAATTGCCTAAATATCGGTGAGCTATTAAGATAATGATAATTTTATTTAGTATCAATGAGAAAAAACAGTCAAATATGTATACTCGTACCATTAAGACTTCTTATAAATTTCGCTATACACGATCAGTTTGTGAAGTCGGATTGTTCAGATAAACCGAATGTGTGTAGGCAATATTAAGAGCTGAAAATTTTTGAGTTTTGTTAGCTTTATCTGACTTTATCGGATTGTTCAGATGAAATTGTGCGTGTGTAGAGGGCTTAACGATAAACATATTCATAGATAAACAATAGTCAGAACGTATGTTACCAAAATTTTAAAATAACTTTTAATTTTACATGCAAAATTCATGTCTAGTCATGATCAGGAGAAAGTCTTCGAACAAGCTTCTACTTACATAAATAAATATGTGCACGATACTATTAAAGAGAACATTGTGAATAATAAAGCATCGTATGATTTGGATCCGATGCAAATATCTTGGACTGTTAAAGTAAGCAAAGAAAAATATAACAAAGCACGTATATGTAAAGAGATTTCTGGTAATTAAATTAATATTTTCAATTTTTAGAATCAAGGCAATACAAGTGAAGAATCTGTTATGCTCGAGGATATAGTAATCGATGGTTTTGATACAGCTTATTCCCCACAAATTGGTGGTCCTTATAAACTTCGAACAGTTGGTATCGCTGATACTCTACGCTATAATACACTAAAGGTAAACAATACTAATATTTAGAAATAAATGTGTTTTAAAACTTCATAAGTGAAGGAAAGTGTTTCTCCTATGTTAGATTTTGAGCATTAAAATGATAATTAGCACAGTTATTGGAAACGTTGTATTTTAGGTTCATGGCAAAATAACTTTTGATCGTAATAATGAAAAAAATGAACATGGATTTTACATGGAACTGCAAGATGTTACGTTAAATGTCAACATTGACTTAGAGGACTCTTCTCAGACCACATTTAATATTGACAGTAACTTTTATTGGAGGTAAGCAGCAATCAATAAGTAATCAGTAACTGTTACTTATAATAAATCCACGTATTAATACATACTTCAATTTAAAGGAACACGGACTTCTCTATCATGAATCTTGAACAAACAAGGGAAAGAATTGTAGCTCAATCTATTATAAATGGTTATTTAGTAAATAGAGTATCAAAATATTTAAACAACAAACTACCGAAATCATCGGTTGCTGACTCCGAGAAATTGGTGGACAATAGTGAAGAGACGGTAAGTGAAAATGAACAACAACATCCTGAGCAAGATCATGGCTTAGAAAGTGCTGGGCAAGATGGTGATGCTAAAAGTATAGAAACCGGTGCAGCAAAAGAAATTGTTAATATTAACGTTTCCATAAATGAACAAGAAGATAATGTGGAAGATGAAACGAAGCTGAAAGATGAAACTGTAGAGGAAATGACTGATAGTGAAATGGTTAAAATTAAAAAGGATATTTCACTGGAAGTGCAAACTGGTGAAGAAATAGCTAGAAGAGATACTAAACTTAAACCATATCTTAGAAAAAAGAAAGGTTTCCTGACACGTTTGAATGATAATCGCAATGATAGAAATATCAAAGAAAAGCACAAGAAACGTACCAAAAAATATTTCCAGGACAATATTAAATATGGTAAAATAAAGAAACACAAGCATGGTAAACATCACACTGATAAAAAAAGCAAGAAATATAAGAAACAGGGCAAAAGATCTTCAAATATAAACCGACAGAATAAACACAAAATATCTGGATTATCAATATCGGATGACAATGAAGTACGATAGTTTAAATTTTGGTTAGATTTCATGTTTGGGGTCACTATTTCTTATGTTATATATTTTTATTCTAATAAATAACATTTAAACGACGTATTTTACTAATAAAATAATGTACTTTATTGCCTATAACTATGTACGTTAAATTCTATTTATATTTCATTTCCATGTTAAAATGGAGAGTTACGTTTCTCTAGCAAATGTGTTTTGTCACATGAAACTGTTCACTTTGAGAGACTCCACGCTTCAATTAACCTTTTTGTCGAGAGCTAATTAAAGAGCATAAACGGTTTCGTATATTGTTACGGTACGGACGAGAAATATTGCCCCTCGTATATCTTAGGCCTTTCACCTGTTTAGTTAGGACAAGTGGAATGGTTTGTGTTCTAGTTGATTATTACCAAAACCATTTTACTAAAACTACTGGATATCATATAGATTAAAATATAGCAAAAAACAATAAAATAGAAAAATATTACTAACGGAAACTTTCCTACAACTGCTCTAGTGTAGTCATTTTTACATTTCTATGTTATCTATATTCTTAATTTTTTTATATTACTATAATAGTATTGTAATATCAGTGATAATACGAATTGATATTTTTTCAAATAATTAAGAAATAAAATTTTAAGACTTCAAGCACATATTTGAGTTTTAATGAAAATTATAGTCCAGATGAAGTTTATACCAAATTCTTAACTTTTAAACCGGTTTATATGCAATACCATCCTCTTCTAATTCTGGTCCGCCCTCAAACTGCCGCATCGGTACAAAACGCCTGTGAAGTAATTAAAACTGAGAACCAAAATATTTTTAATAAGATCAATAATTGAAACGTTAAATATAACCAGTCTATAGTCCTATAATCAGCTTAGCTTGTACACTTGACAAGTGACGTCATCTATCATGGAAATCAAAATTGAAAGGATTATGCTACTAGACTAAAGTTAAACAATGCCGTGTCTCGTACATAACATCTCCGTAGGTGGTTGTAACACCATGTACCCGACACGTATCCGAGATCCGTATCTCGGATACATATCGGGTACATGGTGTTCCAAACGCATAAAGATATTTCAATACAAGAATTCTACCATACCTTGTCGCATATTCTCTTTCGTCCTCTTCGGGTTTTTCATCGGAAATGTCTTTGTTAATTTTCATTTTTGATTTGATTTTATCTTTTTCATCTATATCGCCAACCTTATAGAAATATTCATCCGGGTCTTTTCGTGCATAATCCACTGCTATGTCTTTTATCGGAGAAAACTTCCTCATAATTATCGAGGAGCTCCCACTCTCTAGTACCGTCGTTTGCATTGCTGGATTTGGGTGGATTGAAATTTTCTGCACCGGCGGTGTTGTAAATCTGTAATAACTTACAGAACCCTGCAAATCATACTAATATGTTAAATGCGAAAGTTCAGGTGGATGAATGGATGGATGCATGTTTGTTAGAGTTTGTAGCCTAAACTGCTGAACGGATTTCGATGAAATTTGGTACAGATGTGTTGTTCTGTTTTGTTTTTTGTTTCAGTCTTTTTTTTAAATTCCACGCGGACGGAGTCGCGGGCGAAAGCTTTAGTTCTTCATTATCTACATGACCTCTGAAATCACTTGAATTTGTTCTTAAAAAATTATTTGAATTAAAATAACCTCCGGCACTTCTTCTTCACTACCCGGTACATCCGAACTTTCTGATTTGGTAAACTTAGAGAGTCGTTCAGCGTATTTTCTTGTGTCATCTGCTTTTCCTAATGTTTCGGCTAAAGGTTTCTTTCCGCCAGTATCAGCTATATTTTCTTGATAGTCCGTACTGAAGTTTGCTAAAACAACAAGATGTTGAGTTAGATGAAAAATGTCTATCAAGTTTCAGAATTTCCCCGACATTGCTACATATAATTTAACATCCAATAAAACAAACATTGAAGACACGTTTGAATGATCTGTTTATGAAATCTAAAGAATCGGAATTGCCATTTATTGAAATGTCGAAGTTCTAAAGCGACAAAAATAAATGCGGATTAAAAACCGAATTTTTAACGTTAGTAAAACCATTCAATACTATTATAGAATTGGTTAATTATGTTTAGAGTTTACTTACTGTCCAAATCATTTCCAAATCTTCTGCTTCCAAACTGTGCTAAATCTGGTCGATCGTTCATTTGACCACGTCTCATGTACACAGTAACATCGGACCCTAAAAATAAAATAACATAGCTTGCAAAAAAAAACAAATAATGTAAAAAATACAATAATCACCTTTTGATAAGACAGAAAAACTACGGTTAATGTGTGAACTTGGTTGATTAATCCAACCTTATTGTAAACTTTTTGCAACGACTAAAATTGATAATCTAAAAAGAGTGTAAGACGAAATCAGAAAATGTCATATTTTAGTTTACTTACTGGTAAATGTGAGGAACTCTGCTAAAGAGTAATTGTATCCGTAGGCAATGCCAGCTATGATGCTGATGCAGAATCCAACGCAAACGACGCAGATCAGCATGCCCAAGAGGAAGAAGGTGATAGCCCTGCATTCATGTCAAAACATTACTCCCGAAAGTTGCCACTTAAAACGTGATTTTTGGCTGTTTACAGATAAACTATTAAAAAAGTATATCACTAATAAGTCCGACTGATTACATTTTTAACATTCAGGGTATTAATTGATCGTAAAATTTTGTATATCAGTCAATGGCTACTAACCTCTGGACAACGTCTAAACTCCATACTAAACAATTGCAAATCTGACACATCGTGCTAGTTATAAGCTGTCGTTATTTGTGTATCTAAAACACGACAAATAGTTTTAATAGAATGAATCTAAAGATCTATTTGGATGTATTTTCCAAAAACAAAACTGTAACTAGAAAATTTCTTGTATTGTGGTTCATTTTAATTGATTGCTTATAAAAAAACTTTTTGTCAGCTTTGAAGAACAAAATACACATTACAAACACCACAATTTTAACGAAATAAAAGTAATGTAAATATTGCTGAAAGATACACAAAGAGCTCATACTAAAGAGAATTCCTTGTAAATATTTTAACGAGTACCTCAACCTCAAAGCGAGCTAAGTAAAAATTAAACGCGTATACAAATAAGGAGACTCGACGTCACAGACAAAAAACATTAATACGGTATTTACCAAAGATTTTGTAGTGTGTTTTAATTTTGTATGTAGAGGTATAATAGAAGCATTTTGAGTTCATCTTTTTAAACATCTTGTAGACCTTGACAAAGACCGAATTACAGATGTGAACTACAAACATTTGTGTAGGTGCGAAAAAGTAATTGATTAATCAGAAGTCACGTTTACGCGTCGTTCACAAATTTATGATTTATTTGCTATTATTAACGTTTACCTTCTATGTTTTGCTTTAACTACAGCTTCCAAATCTTTGAGCTATCGGGCGGCTGCTTTACCGTGGAAATGGTCCTTAGATTAGTTGTGAAAATTTCAATCAAGTGCGTTCAAATTGGGCGATTAGTCGCATTAGTGGCAAAAAAGTCTCTCAAGATAATCATTAGAATGGACAAGGACGAGGGAATCTTTTAATGTTATAGAAGACTAGCTTTCACCCGCAACTTCGTCCGCGAAGAATTTAAACAAAAAGTGAGTAGCGTATTTGTTATTCCACACTATCCCCTACATTTACACCGAATTTCATCTACATCCATCCATACAACCATAGAAACTTTCACATTTATAAGTATGAAGTATGATTATGCAAATGTTTTATAACAATACATTACCAAAGCAACAAATAAGTAAATAATACATAATTTTTAACATACCATCGTATTAAGAATTGCGGGAGAATAAAACTGTACAGTAACATGTTATCATTGTTAAAATAATAATAATTAATAATAAATAAATACAAAAAACAACTCGTACAACGTTTGACTTTCGTTGACATAAGTGATTGATGTCAATATTCGAACTTTTTAAATACGAAATAAAATTGGCGTTCAGATATTCTGCCATAGATTTATTTTTCTTTAAAGATCCGGTTTTGTCTTTTTATTTCTATTATAATACTTGATCTAACAGTAGGCACTATAACGTCTATAAGTAAGAGGGTGTCCAGATGTTATGGATTTCTATTTGACGCGCTTTTTCTACTTTATCCTTAGAAATCCATTTCATAATGTTGCAAGTAATTTGGTATCCATATAACCCAGTACCCACAACGTAACCCAATTCTCGTAACGTCAGCAATGGATTGGGTGCCCTTGTATAATAGGATTATGAAAGTGGCATCATCCGTGAGACTCGTCGCATCTCGTATCGGCTTATTCTCACCGGATTTACGAAGGATGGTGTTCCGTTCTTATCGCTTTTTGTCAAACAATATCCGCTTTCGATGCTTGTAAGTATCTAGGTAAGTTAAAATTGCTGAGAATAAATTTTAAGTAATATTTGCAAATGTTGGTTTAAACAGTTTGCAATAGACAAGTTCATTTTAGGGACTAGACATGTGATTTGTGTGCGTCAGTGAATTGCACAATAAGTGATATTTAAAACTAAGGTACTTAATCTAGTTATAAGATAATCTAATTCTATTGTGTTTTAATATATTTTAAACAGCACATTAATAGCAATTATAATTATTTGACTTTTCCATATGTTCTACCGTTCCGCTTTTACCGGAAAATATCGTAAAGTCTCTTTGAATTCGTTGTTATCTCTTGTGTTCAAAAATCAAGGAAAATGAGAGTTCCGTGCGTACGCCATGATAGAAGCGTAATAACAAAATCCCCTTGTGTGTTCATACGGTTACGGAAAGGAAATGAATAGAATAAATCATACGTTTCTTTCGCATATTTTTCTGTTGTCTTACTTTTAGTAGGATCTTGAACATATGTTGACGAACAATCAGGTATTGCAACCATAACTTATAAAAATTATTTTTTAAATTAACCCTTAATAAATTGTTTCTGGTAATATAGTTATGCATCTACTGGCTAATTTATCGGTTTTGTGTATACTTGTTCTATTTTCGTATGTAATTGTGTGATTAAATTAGCTGCTGTGTATACTTACATAAATAAATAAACATTTTTTCCTTTTTCTTGGAATATAAATATCCTTCTTTCTGTTCTGTTCTAAAAATTTATTTCCATTCATAATCTATTACATAGATTATGAATGGAAATAAATTTTTTTTTCTTACATTTCTGTAAGCGAGCATTCTTATATTACTGGCCAGGCTATAAAATACGTAAAATACACGTGTAGTCTAAAGTTTTCATACAATTATGCAGACGGAGTTTGGTTTATTTTCCTTTTTCTGTTAACTGACAGAATTTCAATCAAGACAAGACGTTGCGATCTCGTTAACATCTGTTTTTATAACATTACTGCAAGGTGAAACCTATATTTAGTCTAAGAAGTGAAATAAAATACACGGTATGAGTTTAGTAACATTTTGTGTTCACTTCCTACATATTTTTAAATAATAAGATGCTTTTAAGATGAAAGTATGGATGTATTGAATGAGAATATGCTTACGAAAGGAATGGATACAGATATGATAGCTGATAGAGATGTATGAAAGAGCAGCACAAACTGTGCCGACCCTCCATAAGGGATAAGGGCAAGTTGATGATGAAAATAAGATGCTTTTTTGCTACTTAAAAATTAAATATAGAATGAGTGATTATTATTAAATTCAGCTTATAGTGTAAAATTACAGATTATAAATAATTATTGATAATTTTTATATTTATAAATGAACTAGCTAACACCCGCGACCTGCACTTCTCTCTCTCTCAATATAAACATTATTCTGGACTGTTATGTATATTTTTGTAAAAAAACTCCAGTTTGTGGCATACTTTGACTTGAGTATACGCGGTAAGGATATGCAGAATATTTAATCATGGCTCGACAGCGGACAAGAAAACTCGATTACCCTACACACGGCGGTAGCTTTTCAAAGCAAAGGGGATAAATAAATAATAATTGACACTTTAAATTGTATGTTTTAATCGTATTAGAAGAATTAGTAATACTAAAAAGTATTAACGTAAAAGGTCTTTGTTACCTACTAGCTGTCGCCCGCGACTCCGTCCGCGTGAAAAAAAAAAGTGAGTAGCCTATATGTTCTTCCAGATTATCCTCTACATCTATATCAAATTTCATTGAAATCCGTTCAGCCGTTTTGGCTACAAACTCTAACAATCATCCATCTATCCATCCATCTAAACTTTCGCATGTATAATATTAGTATGACTAGCTTTCGCCCGCGACTCCGTCCGTGTGGAATTAAAAAAGCTTATATGTTCTTCCAGACTAACCTCCACATCCATGCCAAAGTTCATCGAGATCCGTTCAGCAGTTTAGGCTACAAACATCCATCCATCCATCTAAACTTTCGCATTTATAATATTAGTTAGATTGCAATTGTTTAACATATTATCTTAGTGTATTTTAAATTATGTGCATCTTTTATTATATGTTTTGTAGTTCGTGGATACATCGTTATAAGTATGAAGTAATCATTGTGCAAGATGTTTATGCTCGTTTAAGATTTATGACAGAAGTTTGAATTGATAGCAACACAGCGTCGATTTTAAACGTTTACAACAAACATGAGAGATGTTATCGTCGTTATTTATATGGAAACTTTTCTTCTCAAATATTGTTTTAAAATCACGAATTTGTATTGAGGACTAGCTGTTGCCCGCGACTTCGTCCACGAATTAAGATAGAAAAGTACCCTATAATGTGCCCGTCGATGTCAGCTACCCGTCAGTGAAAGTCCGGTCAAAATCGTCGCAGCCGTTTTGGAGATTACCCGGAACAAACGCGGTTTGCGGACAGACAGACAAAAAAAAATGCGATTTTCGTTATCAGAAACGCAAATACATCATCTTCCCGAAATCTGGAATGTTTCTTTTGATATTACAAACAGACACTCTAATGTTATTAAATGTATAGATTTTATACATTGAATCAATATTTGATTCCCTAAGTAAGAGAAGATGGAACTTCCATATTTGTTAATTAATTTTACACACTAAAAAGATGAAATACACGTTTTTTAAACACCCTCATACTTTTACAGGCATCTTTTCTTTTAGTAATAAAAGTATTTTATTAAATGAATTTTATATTGTGTTAGTAAGTGACAAAGTAAGCGGTGCAACTGTTATCGTCTCGCTCCACCGCACTCTACTTTGACCCGCTTCCTAAGTTTTCATTGTCATATAAATTTTGTCGACTTATTACTTTTAACTAGCAAACTAATTGAAACGAACGTTATTGCACGATACATTGTACGTTGTCTTTACTTGTTTTATAAGATTTTGCTACTATCTTTTACAGAAAATAAAATATATTTAACCAGATATTACAGTCGTACTAAGAGTGCGCGCACACTTTGACTAAACTATCCCACGTTTAGTCGCGCTTTGATTCTTATGAGCTTATATGGGTGCGCATATTAATCGATTTTTAGTTGTGCAACTAAACAGTTGATTTGGCTGCGAAACAATCGACAATCGTTGTGCGTTGTGCGATAGTTTAGTCAAAGGTGTGCGCCCCTTAGTATTATTTACTTAATTAATTTATTTTCTAAGTATTTTCTCTATCATAGTTTGACAAAAAATTATTTATTTCTTCTTTAAGGACTGTGGTATGTCCTTGTCGATGGAGCAATCTTCAGTTGTCTTGTGGAGTAGTTTTCAAGATTTATTTAAAGAACTAAAATTTAAAACTGGCCCAACCTTCGTAAATATTTGATTAGAGGACGTCGTTAATGATTTATAGTTTCCTTGCGTGTAAATTGTAGCCCAAAATATCTCATTATACAATATTAATTTTACCCGTGTTATGTTGTCATGGGATTAATCATACTAACATTATAAATGTGAAAGTTTATATGGATGGATGTTTGTTAGAGTTTGTAGCCTAAACGGCTGAACGGATCTCGATGAAATTTAGCATAGATATAAAACATAGTCTAGAAGAACACATAGGCTACTTACTTTTTTTTATGTCACGTGGACGGAAACGCTCGCGAAAGCTAGTTAGTAAAAAGATTATTAATATAAACTAGTTAGAATAGATTTTTCCATACTCTGTCGTTAGTTTAAACCAATAAATTATTAACCAAATTCAATTATTAAGGAACTAGTTTTAGCCCGCGACTCCGTCCGCGTGTAATAAAAAAACAAAAGTAGGTAGCCTATGTGTACTTCCAGAGTATCATCTACATATATGCCAAATTTCATCAAGATCCGTTCAGAAGTTTAGGCTACAAACTCTAAAAAACATACATCTACCTAAACTTTCGCGTTTGTAATATTGGTATGATTATTATGAAATTGATGTGTTGTAGAATTGCGTCAGAGGTAACTGTTGCTCTATTTTTAATAACTAAGACGCTAATCAAAATTATTTTTCTAATTAAACTAAAGAGTGAAAATAACAACTAAGAAAATATTTGTTATGAAAATCATAAAAATATGAAGAGTGTAGTGAAAGTAAAATTCCATGTTCGTCGTGGAGCTCCGCGTGAGTAACGAGGGCTGCTGGAACGTTTATTTTCTCCTACAAATGGCTTGCAAACGGCTTGCAATCGACGACTCGCAGTCGGTTGTTACTGTCATGTCTCTTCTGTTTTTATTTGTTACTTCTTATCAACCTTACTTTTATTTCTGTTGACTTTAGTTCTAAAATAGCAGTATTGCACTATAATTAAGAATTGTTTTTAGGCGAATGCTATAAAAGTGACCCTAAATTTCGTCGCGCGATTTTGAGCTAAACTATTTAACTACGTCATAGTCTAGCAAGCATTACCTTTCGGATAAAAAAAAATTATCAAAATCGGTCTACTAGCGGCGGAGTTATGCCGTAACACACATAAAAAAAACATACAGACGAATTGAGTACCACCT